TGTGTTTGGGGTAAACACCAAAACGATTGCTCTCCCAAGAACTACGGAGGTGGTGGGGGTTAATAGCCAGAGAAGAGAAAGTGACGGGAAAACCAGGAGCGGGGGGGGGGGTGGCAAGACTAGGGTGTCTTGTGAAATCGGTCCCATGAGCCTTTTGTTTCTAAAGTTACTGAGCCGCTCGGCGTACTGTGGTTTTTAGGTTAGTGTTATTTTGATATCTCCCGTCTCGCCCTCTTTTTTTTTTAATTTTATTGACAGGAGGAAGTAGCCAGAAACGCGGATCTAGAGAAGTTGCAGAGAGGCCCATATCACAACATACCGAAAACCCGGATGTTTCTGCGCGCGATCCGTACGTCTTTCGCGTCTTTACTGACGCGCATTCACTACAAAGATTAAAGCAAAAACCTCGCAGAAATGAATTCAAGTAGCGATGACGAGTCCCGTAACTCATTAGAATCAATGGAAGACCACATTTACCATCGTAGAACTGGTGTGTATTGATCAATATAGCCTGACGGAGTCCAATCCTCTCCAGGCTGGTTTGAATTCAGAGTTTTCTTTCTCTTAAAACAGTTGCCAACAAAGGCTATAGAAGCCAGTCTGTCCTGCTATTTATCCATAGCCGGTGAGGGAGATATGGATTCATGCTTTTCGTAAGGTTCTCGGCATGTAAGTGAAAGTAATGAACTCGGCTGGAATTCGAACTCGGCTCTCTGATTCTTCGGAATCCAACACTTCAAGGTGTCTCCAATTTAAGTCTGTGTCTAATAAAAAAAAAAGGCTGATAACATCAGCAAACTCCCTCCCTACCACGGTTTAATCCATAATAAATAATCCTTTTTGAATAGAGGTAAATTTTATTGTTATAAAAAAGAAAAATGGCCCCGATTATGAAGTGTTTATTCCCGTGGGCAGGCGGTGGAAATAGCAAACAAGTATCCAGCAGTGTCCCTCTGCCACTCATGTGTCTTTTAAGCCGAGAACAACATAGACGAACTTAGCAACTGTTTGCTGCCGGTATTCTTTGCCTTAATGCCATGTTTCTGTTTTCGGACAAGAGATTGCAAAGCGTTGAGAGATGCTAGGTCACTGGAATTCCAACCCAAAGACAGACCCTCCTTCGTTGCATTAAAGATAGATTTGTTTTTGGTTTCTTTTGTTTTACGGGACATCAACCTCAATGGGTTATTTAATGCCGACAAAATTTTTATTGCTGGCAATATTTTGTTTTGTCAAAAATGCATAGCTGGTAACACTTCTTTCCAAAAACGTATTGCTGGTAATATTTCTTTTCCAAAAGTGTATTGCTGGTAATAGGTTTTTGTCTTCAAAAATCCATTGCTGATAATAACTCTTTACCAAGTATTCTGGTACTAAAACCCATTCCCACACCTTCACAGCGCTTTTCCTCCATTCCGGGCTAACCATTCGCTCATAGCTGGGACCCCTAACAAGTGCCACCACCCCGGGTCGGGGCGGACCCGGGAACACCAGCAATTAAGAGGTGATTCCACACTCCTCAAAACCTCCCGAATGGAGGCTCCGCCGCCGGATGCAGTTTATCGTCTTACCCAGGACGCAGATGTTGTTTATCGACCTACCCAGGGCGGTTGAACATAGGGAAGTCGGTGAAATATCTACCTCAGCGTGACAGCCGTGGCGGGGACCGGGCAATTTTGGGCCGTGTACACATATATGATCATTTCACATTAAGAAAAAGAACCACCACAAACCTAAAACAACGTCTATCTTACCTGTGGTTAGACGTGTAAATATCTCGTTTGTGGACTTTCTGGTCTGGCAAGGGCGCTTAGGTTACGATCCGCATTAGTTCAAAGTTCGTGTTCCGAATATGTAACAGTCGGGCATTTTCTTGAAGGTTCGATCGTGACTGTTCGAGGCTAGTGCTTGCGGTAGTATGCGCAAACTTTTAATCTCACAAGTTTCTATCCCTTCTGGCTCTTAATTATCGGCTGCATGAAGCCATTAACCATAATTTTTACAATTTTATATCAAACGCAAACAATTCACAATGCATGTTTCACTCTTACACAATGTAGTGAAAGTGTTACGGGCAAGTAATATTTAGCTACCCCCCACGAGGGTTGCATAAGGCACAAGGCCGGGTTTAACGTGGGATTTCCGAGCCCGTAGGCTCGGTCAAAAATATTCCCTCTTTGAACCCGCATAAACGGGTTCAGGGGCAGTCAACCACCCCGAACGAGACACTGCCGTTCGGCGGAGCCTCGTCCGGGTTCCTCTCCGCCCGAGAGCAGAGAGTTAGACTGTTACTTCGCCCGGAGCCAAGTGTTACGGGCAAGTGTATGCATTGAGAGATAAACACGTATGTCTCCTGAAATGCCCACAACAAACATGGTGGACTCGGGATGTGAGTCCACGTAAATAAATGTAAAGAAACGACAAGAACCAATATATGTATGTACAAACATATGATAATGTATTAACAACAAAGATATATTAGTGACAAAAACAATAATGTGTGTGACAAATGATTTGAAAACTATTTTGGTCCAAAATATGTGTAGTGAGTGGATGTGTATACGTACGTGTGTGTGTATTGTTCAGGCGTTTCCCAAAAGGGAAAGCGTTTTTCCGTGAGAGGCTTACATGTTGACGGATCAGAAGTGAGTGATAGAAAAATTATCGCAGACTATTCATAGTGCCGGAGAGCGTCCCCTAGTAACGGTTTTGAAAATTAAGAGGAGTTAACTCGACAAAGGAAAACGAGAAGGAAGGAATAAACATCAACTGCAAGAAGACAGAATCCATTGTCGTTAGGCAAAAGATGAGCCCAAAATGCAAATTACAAATCGGGGACACAAAAATCAGACAAGACTGAAATATCTGGAGAGTGTTTTAACACTGGACGGAAAGTGCGATACTGAAATCCGAAGACACAGTGGATAGCCAAATATGTCTTGCAAAAATTTATTGCTAGTAATATTTTATAACTTCAAAAATCTATTTCTGGTAATATTTAAAAAAAAAAAAACAAACTAAAATGTATTGCTGGTAACATCGTTTTCAACAAATAATGTACTGCTGGTACTATTTTTTTCAAAATGTATGGCTGGAAATATTTTTTACAAAGTATTTCTGGTATTAAAACCTATTTCATAGTATTTTGACCTCAGTTAGTCGATTAAATATTTGCCCATAGCCGGGAACTTAACAGATGCTACCACCATTGGTCAGGATGGATCTGGGAACTGTAGAATATTGGTTAGCTTGCCAGTGGTCCAACACACAAGTAGGCAAAGTGTAGCCAAAGCTAAGACTGACTTGAGTCATTTCATGGAGAAATATATGGGTGAATAAAGACCACTCATGTAAATGTATTGGGCAGGTCCATTCTAGCAAAATGGACCAACCTAACTGGTGTATTAGGCACTCTCCTATAAAATGAGGTAAAATCAGCTGGCTTGCTTTACAAGGAAACAGAAGAAGGCAGCCATGTTGGCAGGTAAGTCACTTGACTTCTACAGGAACACCAGCAATTAAGAGGTGGTTCCAAAACCTCATGATCAGAGGCCTTGTTGTTGGGCGTAGTTTATCGTCTTACCAAGGGCGCGGATATAGTTTATCGTCATGCCCAGAACGCCGGATGCAATTTATCGTTTTACTCAGGACGCGGACGGTTTTGAGGGTTAACTACTTGCCCATAGCTGGGACCCTAACAGGTGCTACCACCCCGGGTTAAAATGGACTTGGGAACACCAGCAAAAAAAAAAAAAAAAAAAAGGTAGTTCTGAACAGAGGCTTTGCTGTCGGACGTAATTTATCGTCTTACCCAGAACGGGCAACAGAAATATGTTTCTACAGAAGGATGCTGAGGATATCGTGGGACGAATATTTGATCAACGGCGAAATTTTAGAGAAAATGGCAACAAAAAGGAAATTTAACATCAGAAATAGAAAACTGAAATTTCTAGAGTGACTAATGTGGAAAGAGAGCTTGGAAAATCTGATACTCAAAGGACAGGTTAAAAGTTAGAGATACAAAGAAAAGAAACGCATAAAATACTTAGTAAGTCTGAGTAAATCCTTTGTTTAGTTAGAATGGTCACTACGCAATGCCAATATCTTACAAATAACAGACTATTCCGCTTTGATCACGTGGAAAGACTGAAATCACGTATGAGAGATGTTAATTGGTTTCAGTGAGAAGATGAAAGAAGGGAAGGAAGAAGTTGTTAAAAATTTCTTTATTCCTATGCTTAAGTGAAATGGAAAATGTCCATTTGAAATATTTTAATTTGTATCCCTTTACTTCTTTTACGAACAGCAATCATATTTATGATTGTTATTGCAATATCTTGTTAAAGTTCTTAAACTCAATAGGGGAGATTTCTATGGATATTTTATTTTTCGTAGAACTAGCCATGACCTTATTCAATCATTTACTAAAGAATTAAGATTCATCAGAAATTTTAAATAGGAAAACGTTGAAATTTCCACAGGTATATCTAGTAATGCATATTTGCAAAGTAAAATAATATCCTAATATTATTTCAAATCACCTATTATGGATCAAATTTCCGGTTTTTAGAATATTTTAACTACTAGGATTTTTGTGTATCATTTATTTCCAATTTTGTTTAATCTGTTCTTGATTTTTACTCAGGTTGGATGTTATTTTATAAAATATAAAAACTTAGCCAGGTGCAATTTTGAAATGCTAATTTTTACTTGTCTTGAACTGTTTGCATATAATATTATTTTTTTTTAAATGCAGGGGCCCTAAGGATATTCGCGTAAGCCTTAACAGATGTTAGGAAATATAAAAAGGAAACTTTAACACTTACGAGACGAAAGTGGTAATATTTTCAGCATTAGATGGCCTAGTGGTTAGAGAAACAAAAGAGGAAGTCAAAAAGTTGGAGATTTAAATATTGTGTGGTATTTAAATGAAAACGTCAATGTGCAAATTGTATCGTAAATTCCTGGCTTTGCAAATGGTGGCATGAACCTGGACACAATTATTCAGAGGAAATAGTAAGAAAGAAAGCAAGAGAGAAAGAATAAAGAAAACAGGGAATAGAGAAAAAAAAAGCAATGGAGAAGGAAGAAAGAAAGAGAGAAATGGAAAGAAAGGGAAAGGAATAAGATATGAAGAATAAACAAAGGAGAATAAACAAAGAAAGCAAAGGAAAATAAAGAAAGAAGGGAAGAGAGAAGGAAGAAATAAAGAAAGGAAGGGAGGAAAGAAGAAGAAATAAAGAAAGGGAGGGAGGAAAGAAGAAGAAATAAAGAAAGGGAGGGAGGAAGGAAGAAGAAATAAAGAAAGGGAGGAAGAAGAAATAAAGAAAGGGAGGGAGAAGGAATAAAAAAAGGAGCGAGAACGAATAAAGAAAGGAAAGAATAAAGAAAGAAAGGTAAATGAATAAAGAAAGAAAGAAAGGGAAAAGGAATAAACAAAGGAAGGGAAAAGGAATAAACAAAGGAAGGGAAAAGGAATAAACAAAGGAAGGGAAAGAGAGGGAATGAAGAAAAAATGAAGGGAGAAGGAATAACGAAAGGAAGGGAGGGAAGAGGAATAAAGAAAGGAAGGGAGAAGGAATGAAGAAAGGAAAGGAAGGAAGAGAGAAGAAATAAAAAGGGTGGGAGGGATTGAGAAGGCAAAAAGAAAAGGGAGAAGGAATAAAGAAAGAAATGGAGGGAGAAGGAATAAAGAAATGGAGGGAGAAGGAAGAAAGGAAGGGAGGGAGAAGGAATAAAGAAAGGAAGGGAGGGAGAAGGAATAAAGAAAGGAAGGGAGGGAGAAGGAATAAAGAAAGGAAGGGAGGGAGAAGGAATAAAGAAAGGAAGGGAGGGAGAAGGAATAAAGAAAGGAAGGGAGGGAGAAAGAATAAAGAAAGGAAGGGAGGGAGAAGGAATGAAGAAAGGAAGGGAGGGAGAAGGAATAAAGAAAAGAAGGAAGGGAGGTAGAATGAATAAATAAAGGAAGAAATGGAGGGAGAATGAATAAATAAAAGGAGAAAAGGAGGGAGGAAGAAGAAATAAAGGAAGAAAGGGATGGAGAATGAATAAATAAAGGAAGGGAAGGAGAAGGAATAAAGACTAAGAGAATGCAGGCAGGAAGGGACAGGTAAAAACAGGGAAGCCATTGAAAGGAAGAGAGAATGAAGGAAACAAAGCAAAGAGGGATCATTCTAGAACGAAGAAGAGAAAAAAAGACAAGAGCGAAAAAGAGAAGAAAAATAAAGCGAACAATGAGAAAAATGCCAAAAAGTGAATAATAAGCAAATGAAAAAAAAAGAAAAAAAAAGAAAAAGAAACGGAAGGGTAAAGGAGAGAGAAACATGAGACAATAAAGAAGAAAAATGGAGACAGCGAAAGAAAAAGGGAATAATTAAAAATGGAACAGAAAAGTGGAATGGGAAAATGAAAAAATTAAAAAAATGGAAGAATAAAATAAAAGCGGCTTGACGAGAGCAGAAAATGTTGTGGCGCACAATAAGGTCAATGAAAAAATGTCTTGGATAATGCGAAGAAAGTAGATGCGTATGTCAAACAAGAAACAGGAATGTGAAAACCGAAAGAAAGAAGAAGCATCTAAAAGCATCGGCCGGGCTGGAATGAACGGCTTGGAAGGGACAATGACGAACGGCTTAGAATGGACAATGAGGAAAGGATGGAACGGACAATGACGAACGGCTTGAAACGGACAATGAGGAAAAGCTTGAAACGGACAATGACGAACGGCATGGAACAGACAATGACGAACGGCATGGAATGGACTACGACGAACGGCATGGAATGGACTACGACGAACGGCTTGGAAGGGACAATGACGAACGGCTTGGAAGGGACAATGACGAACGGCTTGGAAGGGACAATGAGGAAAGGATGGAACGGACAATGACGAACGGCTTGGAACGGACAATGAGGAAAAGCTTGAAACGGACAATGACGAACGGCATGGAACAGACAATGACGAACGGCATGGAATGGACTACGACGAACGGCTTGGAACGGACAATGAGGAAAAGCTTGAAACGGACAATGAGGAAAAGCTTGAAACGGACAATGACGAACGGCTTGGAAGGGACAATGACGAACGGCTTGGAAGGGACAATTACGAACGGCTTGGAAGGGACAATTACGAACGGCTTGGAATGGACAATTACGAACGGCTTGGAATGGACAATTACGAACGGCTTGGAATGGACAATTACGAACGGCTTAGAATGGACAATGAGGAAAGGATGTAACGGACAATGACGAACGGCTTAAAACGGACAATGACGAACGGCTTGAAACGGACAATGACGAACGGCTTGAAACGAACAATGACGAACGGCTTGAAACGGACAATGAGGAAAAGCCCGAAACGGACAATGACGAACGGCATGGAACAGACAATGACGAACGGCATGGAACAGACAATGACGAACGGCATGGAACAGACAATGACGAACGGCATGGAACAGACAATGACGAACGGCATGGAACAGACAATGACGAACGGCATGGAACAGACAATGACGAACGGCATGGAATGGACTACGACGAACGGCTTGGAACGGACAATGAGGAAAGGATGTAACGGACAATGACGAACGGCTTGGAATGGACAACGACGAACGGCTTGGAATGGACAACGACGAAAGCGTTAGAACGAGCGCATAAACAATGGCGGACGGATTCGAACGAACGAAAGAAAAATAACGAACATTTTGGAACGAAAAAACAAAGAACGGACAGAAAAGAAAGAGTGAAAACAAAAATAAAAAAAAAGGATGTAAGTAAAATTTGTTCATACTCAAATTAAGTAAAAGAAATAAATGCACCATTAGACTTCTGTGTAAAATCAGAGAATTTGAAATTGAAAATATTTTAGAAAACAAAATTGTTTTCACAAAGTACGACAAACTGAAATGGAAATAAATGTAAAGATTTTTTTTAAAATGTGAGAAAATTATACGAATATTTAATTGAAAGAAAATCTTTAGAAAATTTATGTGAAAGAAAGCTACAGACAAGCAGGATGAAATATGAAAAAGAAATCTGTAACGGAAACGGAAATAAACAGGTAGCGAATGAAGAAACGTAAAATTAAAAATAATATTTCAAAATGTCTAAAAGTAAATGGAGAGAGGTGGCGGGGGTGGGAAACATGGCGACACCGGAGAAAAATGTTGAAAGAATTATCGACCAAAAGAAACTGTTAAAAATCGTCACAGGAAAAGAAAGACTGAACGAAATTTAAAATTAAAATATGGCAAATCGATGGAGAGATACATATGTGTAGACCGGGATGAGCAGACAGAGGTTGATCGGAGATGATGGAAATATTGAAAGGAGAGTAAGACGGATATACTGAAAGTAGAGGGGAGGGAGAGAGAGAAGAGAAGACGGAGATACTGAAAGTAGAGGGGAGAGAGAGAGTGAAGAGAAGACGGAGATACTGAAAGTAGAGGGGAGAGAGAGAGTGAAGAGAAGACGGAGATACTGAGAAAAAGAGGGGAAAATTAGAGAGAGAAAGAGAAAGAGAAAGACGGAGAAAGAAGAGAGAGAAGAAATTGAAGAGAAAGATGGAGAAACTGAAGAGAAAGAGAGAGAAATTGAGAAAGATGGAGAAACTGAAAGAGAAAGGGGGAGAAGAAATTGAAGAGAAAGACGGAGAAATTTAGAGAAGAGAGAGAGAAATTGAAGAGAAAGACGGAGAAATGAAAGAGAAAGATGGAGAAAGAGGAGAAATTAAGAGAAAGAGATGGAGAAGAGAAGAAATTGAGAGAAAGAAGAAATAGAAAGATGGAGAAAAGAGAAAGATGGGAGAAATTGGAAGAGAAAGAGAGAAAATTTAGAGAAAGATGGAGAAACTGAAGAGAAAGATGGAGAAAATGAAAGAGAAAGAGAAATTGAAGAGAAAGATGGAGAAATTGAAGAGAAAGATGGAGAAACTGAAGAGAAAGACGGAGAAACTTAAGAGAAAGAGGAGAAATGAAGAGAAAGATGACGAAATAGAAAGACGGAGAAACTGGAAGAGAAAGACGGAGAAACTTAGAGAAAGATGGAGAAATGAAGAGAAAGACGGAGAAACTGAAGAGAAAGACGGAGAAATTGAAGAGAAAGACGGAGAAATTGAAAGAAAGAGGAAAAAACTTTAGAGAAAGAGGAGAAATTGAAGAGAAAGACGGAGAAATTGAGAGAAAGAGGGAGAAAAGAGAAAGAGACGGAGAAAACGGAAGAGAAAGAGGAGAAAGGAAGAGAAAGACGGAGAAACTGAAGAGAAAGATGGGAAATTTAAGAGAAAGAGGAGAAATTGAAGAGAAAGACGGAGAAACTTAAGAGAAAGATGGAGAAATTGAAGAGAAAGACGGAGAAACTGAAGAGAAAGACGGAGAAATTGAAGAGAAAGATGGAGAAACTGAAGAGAAAGACGGAGAAATAAGAGAAAGACGGAGAAATTGAAGAGAAAGACGGAGAAACTGAAGAGAAAGACGGAGAAAATTGAAGAGAAAGACGAGAAACTGAAAGAAAGACGGAGAAATTGAAGAGAAAGACGGAGAAATTGAAGAGAAAGACGGAGAAACTGAAGAGAAAGACGGAGAAATTGAAGAGAAAGAGAGAAATTAGAGAAAGAGAAAAGACGGAGAGAAATTGGAAGAGAAAGATGGAGAAAGTAAGAGAAAGAGGAGAAATTGAAGAGAAAGATGGAGAAACTGAAGAGAAAGATGGAGAAATTTAGAGAAAGAGGAGAAATTTTAGAGAAAGATGGAGAAATGAAGAGAAAGACGGGAAAAAGACGGAAGAGAAAGAGGAGAAATTTAGAGAAAGACGGAGAAATTGAAAAAGATGGAGAAACTGAGAGAAAGATGGAGAAATTAAGAGAAAGAGAGAAATTGAGAGAAGAAATTTTAGAGAAGAGGAGAAATTGAAGAGAAAGAGAGAAATTGAAGAGAAAGATAGAAATTGGGGAGAGAGATGGAGAAATTGAAGAGAAAGATGGAGAAACTGAGAAAGATGGAGAAATTGAAGAGGGACGGAGAAAAGAGAAGAGAAAGACGGAGAAACTGAGAAAGATGGAGAAACTGAAGAGAAAGAAGGAGAAACTTTAGAGAAAGACGGAGAAATGGAAGAGAAAGATGGAGAAACTGAAGAGAAAGACGGAGAAACTGAAGAGAAAGACGGAGAAACTGAAGAGAAAGACGGAGAAACTGAAGAGAAAGACGGAGAAACTTAGAGAAAGACGGAGAAACTGAGAAAGACGGAGAAACTGAAGAGAAAGACGGAGAAACTTAGAGAAAGACGGAGAAACTGAAGAGAAAGACGGAGAAACTGAAGAGAAAGACGGAGAAACTGAAGAGAAAGACGGAGAAACTGAAGAGAAAGACGGAGAAACTTAGAGAAAGACGGAGAAACTGAAGAGAAAGACGGAGAAAGAGAAAGACGGAGAAATTTAAGAGAAAGACGGAGAAGAAAAAAGACGGAGAAACTGAAGAGAAAGACGGAGAAACTGGAAGAGAAAGACGGAGAAACTGAAGAAAAAGAAAGAAATTGAAGAGAAAGACGGAGAAATTGAAGAGAAAGAGGAGAAAGAAAGATGGAGAAAAACTGAAGAGAAAGACGGAGAAATGAGAAAGAGGAGAAATTGAAGAGAAAGGAGAAATTAAAAGAGAAAACTGACGGAGAAACTGAAGAGAAAGACGGAGAAAACTGAAGAGAAAGATGGAGAAATTTAAGAGAAAGACGGAGAAACTGAGAAAGATGGAGAAACTGAAGAGAAAGACGGAGAAATGAAGAAAAGACGGAGAAACTGAAGAGAAAGATGGAGAAAGAGAGAAAGACGGAGAAAGACGGAGAAAGACGGAGAAAATGAGAGAAAGACGGAGAAACTTAGAGAAAGAAGGAGAAACTGAAGAGAAAGACGGAGAAAACTAAGAGAAAGACGAGAAAGAAGAGAAAGACGGAGAAACTGAGAAAGACGGAGAAAGAGAGAAAGACGGAGAAAAAGAGAAAGACGGAGAAACTGAGAAAGACGGAGAAATTGGGAGAAAGAGAAAAACTGAAGAGAAAGATGGAGAAACTTAGAGAAAGACGGAGAAACTGAAGAGAAAGACGGAGAAATTGAAGAGAAAGACGGAGAAACTTAGAGAAAGACGGAGAAAGATGAAGAGAAAGATGGAGAAATTGAAGAGAAAGACGGAGAAACTGAGAGAAAGACGGAGAAACTGAGAAAGAGAGAAACTTAGACTGAAAAATTAAGAGAAAGATGGAGAAATTGAAGAGAAAGATGGAGAAATTGAGAGAAAGATGGAGAAACTGAAGAGAAAGATGAGAAACTGGAAGAGAAAGACGGAGAAACTTAGAGAAAGACGGAGAAATTGAGAGAAAGACGGAGAAACTGAAGAGAAAGACGGAGAAACTGAAGAGAAAGACGGAGAAAGTGAAGAGAAAGATGGAGAAATTTAAGAGAAAGACGATAAAGAAAAACTGAAGAGAAAGATGGAGAAATTGGAGAGAGGAGAAATTGAGAGAAAGACGGAGAAACTGAAGAAAAAAAGAGGAGAAATGAGGGAGAAATGAAGAGAAAAGAGAGAAAGACTTTAGAGAGAAAGACGGAGAAACTGAAGAGAAAGACGGAGAAAGAAGAGAAAGATGGAGAAAAGAAGAGAAAGATGGAGAAAGTGAGAGAAAGAGGAGAAACTGAAGAGAAAGACGGAGAAACTGAAGAGAAAGATGGAGAAAAGAGAGAAACTGAAGAGAAAGACGGAGAAACTGAAGAGAAAGATGAGAAATTTAGGAAAGAAGAAACTGAAGAGAAAGACGGAGAAACTGAAGAGAAAGACGGAGAAACTGAAGAGAAAGACGGAGAAATTGAAGAGAAAGACGGAGAAACTGAGAAAAAGATGGAGAAATTGAAGAGAAAGAGAGAAATTGAAGAGAAGATGAGAAATTTTAAGAGAAAGATGGAGAAATTGAGAGAAAGAGGAGAAATTGAAGAGAAAGACGGAGAAAAGATGAAAAAGATGGAGAAATTGAAGAGAAAGATGGAGAAATTGAAGAGAAAGACGAGAAACTGAAGAGAAAGATGGAGAAACTTAGAGAGAAAGAGAGAAGAGAAAGACGGAGAAACTGAAGAAAGACGGAGAAAATTAGAGAAAGACGGGAGAAACTGAAGAGAAGACGGAGAAACTGAAGAGAAAGACGGAGAAATTGAAGAGAAAGACGGAGAAACTGAAAGGAGAAACGGAAAAAATTAGAGAAAGACGGAGAAACTGAAGAGAAAGACGGAGAAACTAAGAGAAAGACGGAGAAATTTTAGAGAAAGACGGAGAAACTGAAGAGAAAGAGGAGAAACTGGAGAAAGACGGAGAAATTGAAGAGAAAGACGGAGAAAGATGGAGAAATTGAAGAGAAAGATGGAGAAAGAGAAGAGAAAAGACGGAGAAAAAAGAGAGAAAGATGGAGAAATTGAAGAGAAAGATGGAGAAATTGAGAGAGGATGGAGAAAACTGAAGAGAAAGACGGAGAAAAAGAGAAAGACGGAGAAACTGAAGAGAAAGACGGAGAAATTGAAGAAAAGACGGAGAAACTGAAAGAGGAGAAATTGAAGAGAAAGACGGAGAAACTGAGAGAAAGAGGAGAGAAGAGAAAGATACTGAAGAGAAAGAGGAGAAAGACGAGAAACTTAAGAGAAAGACGGAGAAAGGAGAGAAAGACGGAGAAACTGAGAAAGACGGAGAAACTGAAGAGAAAGATGGAGAAACTGAAGAGAAAGAGAAAACGGAGAGAAAGACGAGAAAGAGAGGAGAAACGGAGAAAGACGGAGAAATTGGAAGAGAAAGACGGAGAAACTGAAGAGAAAGAGGAGAAATTGAAGAGAAAAGACGGAGAAACTGAGAGAGAAAGAGAAAGGAGAAACTGAAGAGAAAGATGGAGAAATTGAAGAGAAAGATGGGAGAAATTGAGAGAAAGATGGAGAAACTGAGAGAAAGATGGAGAAACTGAAGAGAAAGACGGAGAAACTGAAGAGAAAGAGGAGAAACTTAGAGAAAGACGGAGAAATTGAAGAGAAAGAGGAGAAACTTAAGAGAAAGAAAGACGGAGAAAAACTGAAGAGAAAGATGGAGAAACTGAAGAGAAAGACGGAGAAACTTAGAGAAAGACGGAGAAATTGAAGAGAAAGACGGAGAAATTGAAGAGAAAGAAACGGAGAAAAGATGAAGAGAAAGACGGAGAAACTGAGAGAAAGACGGAGAAATGAAGAGAAAGACGGAGAAACTGGAAGAGAAAGAGAGAAATTGAAGAGAAAGACGGAGAAACTGAAGAGAAAGATAA